CGCCAACGAAAAGGAGGTGCGCACCAATCCCCCCTTTTTGGGGGGGGGGGCGGTCGCAGTGATCTACACCGATCACGTGGAACTGACCATGCCACCCACGCCACCCACGACCACCGCGCCACGCCACCCACGACCACCGCCAGATCCTGGCTGAGCGGTTTGCTAACCGCGTGGAGTGCGAGCTGGTGGTGGATGTCTACATCGACCCGATCCTCGCCAGCCACAACAGCTCCGTCGTGTTCGACCAGCTCACCCACCAGCCCGGCGGGGGCAACGGAGGCATCGGTACACCCCCCCCCTCTCTTTTCGTTCCCCACTCACGCCCACGCGGCTGCTCACACGAGAGGTGGGGGTCGGGCGGGGCGGGCAAATGGCAGCGTACTACGGGGCCAAGTATCCGTCGGTGCACTTCGAGGCCAAGGCGGCCGCGTGCGGGGTCATCAAGGAGGCCCTCCTGCCCGCCCTCATCAAGGCCGGCTACACGGGACCGGCCGGTACGCACCCCCCCCCACCTGCCCACCTCCCTCCCCATTTCCCGCCCTCCGCACCACCAATGACGCGTGTGCGTGTGTGCGTTGCGTGCGTTGCGTGCGTGCGTGCAATGTGCGCGGTGTCCCCTCCCAAAGGCATCGACGTGATGTACCGCCCGCCTCATCCGCTCCACTTTGTGGAGCTCAACATGCGCACCGACGCCATCACCTACATGCACGCCACCCCCCTCTACCTCCCTCGCCCCATCCATCTCATCGCATGGAGCCACCTCTCGACGTGTGGCTTACGCCTTCCGAGTGTGCCGTGTGTGTGCCGTCGCATGTCTGGTTGGTTGGTTGGTTGGTTGGTTGGTTGGTTGGTTGCTCTGCAGCAAGCACCTGTCGGACCGCATTGGCAAGGCCCTCTACGAGAAGGAGGCGGGGCAGATGGCCTTCATGACGCTGGTCAACCTGCCTCACTCCCTCTCCTTCGACCAAATCTGGAATCAGTTCTCGGCCGCCCTCCAACCCTCCGACCAGGGCGTCTTTGTCTTCACCAACCCCAATCGGCACCGGTACACGCACAAGACACGACACGACACGCATCGAACACAACACTTCTTCCGGCTTGCGGCGCCGCGCTCGTCCACTCACTCAGCGTGCGCCGGTGCGATGCGGTGCAGGTGGGGTTCGTACGACGTGGCGGCCATCAGTCCGCTGGGCCTCCACGTGGCCGAGGTGCTCATGAAGAAGAGCCTCAAGACCATCTGGGGAGACGAGACGGCGCGCACAGTGCTCACCAACATCCAGCGGCACCCGACCCCGCTCCTCGCCCGCCCCAGTGGTACCACCACCCCTCTCCTCTCCTCTTTCGGGCCAGGGCCCCATGATGGTGGTGGCTGGTGGCGGCTGGTGTTGATGATGGGCTCACAATGTGGGGGCTGGGGCTGGGGCTGGGGCTGTGGGGGTGCCAACAGCAATAGCGGAGGGGTACCCGTACCTGGTGTCGCTGCCCCACGACTACGAGGACGCGTGGGACGCGGACAAAAAGTGGCCGGCCATCCT